AATATCGTTTAGCCACGTAGTATTTATTGATATATATATATTTATATATATATCATGTTATATGTCGCAAAATGGATTCTTTATTTGTTTCAACTGATTGTCTAATAAATATTTTTTACAATGTAAACAGGTAGTTTTCAGGTGTATTTGTGCGTATCTATACCAAGTCTAATGATTTCCCAGAAAATAATTTCGTCTGTTTTTATTAAGCCGAGGAATAGAGCATGCGTACATTGAAAGTTATTTGTTCAACCGTTTGATAACAATTTTGATTACTTTACGTCGTTTACACACTGCCAACTTCTTGAATTAAATCTGACATGTGTTGATAAAATTTTGCAACATCGATCCTTTTTGTTTTCTTTTTCTTTGCCTTCGCGTTGTCGCTTGATATTTTCGAACGAGTCGAAAGTAGCGTGGGAAAACTTGATTTTTATTAATTAAAATTAGATTATGACTAGAGACTTGAAATGTTAGAATTAATCGATATCTCGAAGTCGTGACCTCGCACGCGAATGCACCGAAGAGTTCCTGACCCCCTGTGCTCTCCTGGCAGGTGTCGTTAGTTTCATATAATAAATTTATAAGTATATTATACATCTGCCGAGATCATCTATCTCGAAAATATGTTTAACTAACAAACACAACAAGAACAACAAAATGACAAAGAAAAACAAGATTCCTTCGGCTCCCTAACTTTCCTCTCGGTTTAAAAATAAAATATAAAACAAAAATATTAAAAAAAATTCGGTAAAATTCGCGCTGTAATTTAAAAGCCCTTTAAAAAAATATGTTTTCTTCTGTTTTCTTTTTTATAAACAAATGATCCACCAAATGAAAAACGTCCAATGAGATCGATCGTAACTTATTCGACGTTTTATCATTTCTATCAATTACTTAGGATGAAATAAATCGCGAGGTGATTCGCGAAAGCTCAACTTTGTACTAAATCAACTAAATTAATACTCAATGCTCCTCGATGTATCGCGTGTAAATACAGAAGTAATTAAGATGCATCGAATAACAGTATCATCGCGTCAATCGACTGGACATTATGCGCGAACGTTCCAATCGATTTCTCCGACGGAAAGTACGAATAGACGAATTATTTCAGATTTCATTTTAATTCGATGAAAAAAAAAAAAGAAAAAAAGGAAAATAGAAAAAGAAAATATTATAGATAAAATAGAAAGGAAAAAAAAAGAAAAGAAAAGAAAAGAAAGAAAATTTATGTGTAGTGTATGCGAGGCTCTCCCTCCTACCCCGTGACTTCACCATCCAACCACCCTTACCTTTCTATCGACAGAGCACAGTGTACGAAGACTGATAGAACCGGTTGAAATACCACATATATACAATATAACGAGAAACATTGTATACATTAAAACGAGATAAGTTTTATATTGACTAAAATAAATACAAAATCGATACATTAATACATACTCGATTACATGTAGGAGTACAAATGAGAGTATAAAATCAATAAAGATTTCTTCTTTTATGAAAATTATTTGAAAATCGAGTAACGAAAGAATCTTGTGAAATTTTTAGATAATTTTGAAAAAAAAGAAGATGAATTTAAAAAAAGATGATAAAAAGTAAAACTACAAAAAAAAAAAAAAGATAGCAACCCCGTTTCTCTTGCTCTGTCGTGCTTCTTTAAAATCGATCCTAGAGCAATAAAAAAATAAAACGCGCGCGAATGATCATCTCCCACGTTGTAAATAATCCGATGGACGTTTGTTTAGGGCATCTTTTCTATGTGTGGTACTTATTACTTATTTTTACTTTCTTTTTCTATTTCTAATTTTTGTTTTGGTTTCTTATCGGCAGGGCAATGACTAAAGGCGACGTCTGACGTCGCGGCATCGAATCGCGAGCTGCGACCCCTGTATACGATACCGCGTAGGTAAAGTAGGTACCTGTTTAATAGACTAAAAAATAAATAAATAAATAAAAAAATAATAAAAAAGTAAATACAAAATAACGGTAGCAGAGGTCTAATTAATTATTAGCTATATACCGATACGATGTTGTAACTATTACAGATCGGCAGGTGAACGAACGATCTTGTCGATTGATCAACCGATCGATCGTTCGACAATATCGTTCGGGATCCTGACATGTAACATAGTGTAAGAGAATGACAATATTTCGATAGCTGCCACGTTGTCGTCGGCTCGCGTGGTCACTCTTGTGTGTTTCAAAGTGTGTGGGTGGGACGTGTACAGCAACTCTAACTTTTATCTTCTTTATCTATATCTTTTCTTTCCATTAGCTAATTAATCGCAGAAAATTATTTAAATATCCCATAAGACTATTGTTTAAATCGATTACATATTTGATGATGTTTAAATCATTTTTTGCATTTATTTATTTAATTCTTGTATCTTTTTCTCCCTTATCTATATTTTTTTTTTTTTTCATTTAATTTTCTAAAGACACTAGAGTGACCCGCACGTTCGTGCAAACGCATTGCCCTGACCGAAAATCATGTACGTAAACGTTGTAAATTTATATTTACGCGAAAATTACACACTACGATCGCGCATATATATACACACACAACACACACACACACACATAAATCTGCACACAAACCGAAACGTATACATACTTACTACACGTATTATACACGCTACAGGTGCGCGCGTTTACGCACAAGAAGCTACTGAAATGGTGCTTCGTACAAGTATATATACCTACATATTTACTTAAATACGTACCGGGTACAATGCACTCGTTCGAATGATTACGCGCGATGCGAGAGAAGATAAAAAGAAGTAAAAATAAAACTAGATTTATGTTGAGCGCGCCTACATGCCGAAAAAATATAGGCCGCGCTACCTTACCGATTTATAAGTAAATATAAAGAAAGAAAAAGATATATATATATATATATACATATATAAATTTAAATATATACAAAATTATATATAAATATATATAAATATATATTTAAATATAAATATGAATATAAATATAAATATAAATATGAATATAAATACAATATTATTACAAGTACAGTAAACGTATATGATTATTTTGTAGTGTTCCGCATTATGTAAACTAAATGTATACAGAAAAAGTATGACAGCGTTGGTGATGATTATAATGATGATGATGACGATGATGATGATGATGATGATGATGGTGGTGATGGTGATGATTATAATGGTAATGATGATGGTGATGATGATTATGATTATGATTGTGAGGATGATGATTATGATTATGATGATGATTATGATGATGATGAGATAATGATTGCGATGATATACCATATGTACGCGAGTGAACTATGTATTTTGAAGAATGACTAAGACGTCGATGGATAATAATAATAGTATTATATGCTATCGTGTCGACAAGTCTAAACCGTATTGTATTATATTACATAAGAGTCTGTCCATATTAATAATATTAATAATAATTATAATAATAATAATAATTATAATAATATTAATATTAATAATAATAACAATAATAATAATATTAATAATAATTATTATATTAATTATATAATAGCTGTGTTTGAAAACGAAAAATAAATTGTGGTTGAATATGAAAAAAGAACGTAGTAGTTCAGAACAAGAAAGAAAAATAAAACAAACACTTAGCAAGCAAAGGTAGAACGCGAAAATCCAAAGGGTTAAACGAGAAATATATGTCTTCCTTTTTTTTTACGTTTCATGAGTACACGAAAGAGTCTTTTTCGTGTCAGAGATCTAAGTTGAACGTCTCTTCTTTTATATTCTTATTTTCTTTTATTTCGTTTCTCTTTTACTTCGTAGTACAAATACTTACACAAGGAAGATACAAAAGCATACTTAGATTCGTACTTTGAGGTACGAATTCTAGTCTGGGAGGATTGCACGTGACTCGTTGATTTCGCGAATGCTTTCCTTCTTCTTCCTTCGATTTAGTTGGTTTCAATGGAAATAGTCGAATGGATACGCCACTGGGAGTCTCTCGAAAGGTGCCTTGTACCCCGGAGGTTGCATTTATACGAATTGCGGCGGAAGGAACCATTGTATAATCCAAGATGGCCTCCACGTTGGAGAGGATTATTATTGGCTAATACGAGGCAAGAGGCTCCGCCTTGGTTCACGGCTCGTGACGGGATGATTTATTGGGATTTCTGTCTGTTCGCCCCTGCGCTGCAACGAACGCGCCGTACCTAGGCTTTCCTAGACGGTAGGTAGGTATCTCACTGTAAAACTGCGATATCGACTCTAGAAATGAGTCCAAGGATGTCTTCGTTCTTACGTCGATTTAACTTCTTATGCCTTTCTCGAGATCCCACGCCTATCCTTTTGATGATGATGCCTTTAGAAAATCCACCTAACAGGTCTATTCTCTCCTTTCAATTCAATTTGGATAGATAAAAATGTAATCCTTGAGACGAGATAATTCTCAAATGAATTATCGTCCCAGAGAATTAGATTGCCAAACAAAAACATATCTCGTTAATTCGATTAGCTATCGCGATCGAATACCTCGATAAAGCGTTAGATAGTATTTCGTCGCATTCGATGTTCATCCATTTGGCAAGGACATCGGTTGATTCCGCACGTGCTGACGTCAATGAACGAGGGAACTACGGGAGAGTTGGTATGTAACATCAATTGCGACGATTAAGCGTTGGCTAAGTGGCACGAACTTGATATGGACTTTAATCGGTAGACAAAGCGTGACTTTGCTTCGCTAAGGAACAAGAATAAGAAGAAAAARAAGAAGAAGAAACACGATAATAAGAGATGTGGGTTAGGTATTTCAGGGCCAAGAGGATTCCTCCGAGGTACGATTACGTCCTATTATGCACGCATACTTGTTTTAAATCGAGCAAACGTACGCTGACCTTTGCCAATTCCGTTGTTGCAGGTGGATACGAGTTGAAGATAAGTTGGAAGATTGGTGAGACAAGGACGGACGACAAAAGGAGAATGTAGGAGATAGTGAGAGTGAATGAAAGAGAGAAAGGGAGGGAGAGAGAAAGAGAAAGAGAGGGAGAGAGAACTGGGAAGATAGAAGGGCTGGAAGGAGGATGGCGGTCAGAATTTATGGGCGCTTTATCACTTTACCGGCCTTGCCGCGTCTCCTTTAGCCATGAGGAGGGCAGGATCTCACGATGAACTTTGGCACTCGACTCGGTCTACACTCGACGAACGGTAAGCTCGCTAACTTTCCTGTTTACTCGCATTTCGCGAGAGATTACGAATACACCTGTTTTCTCCTTCGAACCCAAATACCTAACCCATTCCTCCTAAGTCGCGAAACTTGGCTGGCTAATGTGTTGATAGATGCATTCAGGGAGAGAAAATGCATTAAGCTTAGATATTTACTTGTTTGAAACTGTGTTAACAATGAAGCTAATTGAATTCATTCAAAAACATTCTCTTCTTTAAAATATTCTACAAAAACATATTAGGAAGTCCATCTATCATGTATCATATATCTCAATTAATCAGTATACAATATAAACAAATGGTCCATAAAGATGTCCTCATAAAATGATCGACTAAGATTTGTTAGGATGATGCTGGGGGAAGGGATTCGAACGTACTCAGAAGAAAGTGGACGACTCGTAAAATCAACATTGTGTTACCTGGTTCCCGTGAGGACGAATAGGACGACTACAAGGTAGACCGCACACGCCATAGCGCATAAAGCAGCAACCCCCCCATTAACAGACCATAAATTCCATCCCCGGCTCGCGTTATGCCGCCCCGGCCACCGATGTTATGTATGAGCGTCGTTAGTGTTAATAGAGTGTTAACTGCTTCTATACCGCTCTCGATTCTGTTCAGGACATAGGTGACGCCGTCGTTTGTGAAGTGGGGGAGGAGAGATCAAGAGTGAGAGAGAGATAGAGATTGAGAGAGATAGAGAGAAAGTATGAGAGAGGGGGAAAGGGAGTGTAGGAAGCACAGCGATCGCCAGAATTCACGTTTGCGTGCTGTCGGTCTACTGTTAGCGCCGTGCTTCTGCTGTTTTGCATAGGGAATGCATCAATTTTCGGCGCTTCCCACTCACTGATCTCACCCTATATACCTACACTCTCCAGTCTCATCCCTACTTCTACTAGTATTACTGTTACTACTACTACTATTACTACTACTACTCTCTCTCTCTCTTTCTAGTTCTCTCTCATTCTCTCGTTCCCTTTCTCATTCTATCTCGTTTGCTCTTACCATTTCTCTAGTCCTATCCACCTTCCCAATTTAACCCACACGTAGTACCACAATCCCACCTATGTGCTTTCCTTCCACGTAATACACTTCGTATCGAGGGTAATTGATACCGTGTACTGTACGTTTGCCTCTACGCGTCACGCAAACGGGTCGATCCTCGACAGAGTCTGTTCAACCGAGACGTTCCCGTCGCATTCGTTTCTCTTCGGATGGATAAGCCTTTACGATTTTTATTCTTTTATTTCTCTTCTATTTTATGCTCGATCAACGTCATCAATGATAATACAGAAAAGTTATAAGAATTTGTTCTTTCACAGTAATATATATATTTTTTTTAATATTTTATATAAGTTGTTTTTCTTTTGTAAAAATAAAAATCTCACATCGAAAATATTTTATATATATTTACGAGTATATAAGTAGTTAAATAATAAATAATACAAAAACATGTTTATATTTCAATTTTTGTTCTATTTCACAAATATAAAGTTTTTTTCTTTTTTTTTTCTTCTAGTTTTCATTTCATTGATTTTTCAATGAAATAAAAAGACAATTGGAAATTTAAAGATTCTAAGCAAAGTTCATGAGAACGTTGTACTTTGGGTGGATCATTTTACATTGGCGTGGAGGTGGCCGTTGGATACATAACATAGAACGGGACATAAATCAATAATATCGCTGGCGGCCTCTGCTTCCTCTACACCCACCCCCGGGACACCCTCACCGTACCCGAGCAAAACCCTCGCCGTCACTCGTCTCTCCTCCTGCGAACCGCCGAGCGACGCCAGCGTCTCTCTTGTAATCAATGTTCATATTCAAAACGTCACGAGCGTTGTAGCGAGCGTCGCCATGTGAAATTAATACCTACGTCTATTCGTTTCTATCCGTGCGTTTGCGAAAATCGATTACGATGTAGAACTAATAAAAAAAAAAAAACAAAGGAAGAAAATATGTATTTATATATAAATAGTTTTGTTTATATTTATCTTTTATACGAAGTTAAAAACATTTTCGGGAATTCAAGGAGAACATATGATTATGTGTGAATATATTGTTTCAATTTTACTTTTTATAAAAGTTCAAATAGATTTAATAACAAACTAAAAATAATCTTTTAAGTATTGCCGTTTTGTACAAATATTTAAAAAAATTTTACTATTTTATTCATAGAAAAAGAAATATTATGTTTATTTAACACGATGTATTAACAGAGCCACCATATGGTACGTAAAAGGGAAAGAGAAGGAAAGTAGAATCACCCTAGAGCTCTGCACAACTATGAGTATCGACGTGCAAAGGCTAAATGCAAAACCTTGTAAGGGGAGAGTTTCTGACTGTGAGAGGTTAACAAAACATCCTTGCAATTAGTCCGGACGTCCCGATGACACACACGGCGTATCCCGAGGGAGACGCGACTTCGCCACGTACTGCGAGAATTTCGTTGCTCGTTGTTCCCACTCTACTCTTCCGTTATGTGTCAGTTTTCGTTCCAACCCCTCTTTGGTATTTCTATTTCTCTCTCTTTCTCTTTCATCCATGTCCTCCCGTAGGACTCAGAAACACAAACTTTTGTCGAATGACGTTGCCCGTAGTTTTCCTGGGAAATACTAAATAAAATAAAAACTTATTGGATCTCTTTGTTGTTGCGGCGTGTATATGTATGGATGTGTGCGTTTGTGTATGAGTATTTCATGAAATTAGAAGAGTATAGCGAGTAGATATGTAAAATGGTAGAAACAGAAAGAGAGAGTTAGAGAGAGAAAAAGAGAAAATGAAAGAGAGAGAGAGAGANAGAGAGAGAGAGAGAGAGAGAGAGAGAGAGAGAGAGAGAGAGAGAGAGAGAGAATTGTCGGTGAAATTGAAAAGTGGCCGAGAGACGCGATTCTGGACGAATACCGGGTAGAGGGACGATAGGGTGGATGGAAACGAAGCGAGGGATCGAAACGAACGACGACGTAAAAAACTACCGTGCTACTCGGCTGACTGGAAGGGTAGAGAGGACTATTGAGGTGGGGTGGGGTGAGAAATACAAACTGAAAAGTATTTGCAACGCGTACGTTTTTTACTTTGCCCTTTCACGCCACGAACAAATACATACATGCACACATACATATGTATAAACACACATACACATATAGATATGTATAGGTATATATGTATAGGTATATATATATATATATTTTTGTAGAAACGAATTGTAGAAGAGATTGAATCGAGTGTACACAGTACAACACCACACGATTGACGCGCGAACTCGAAGAACTTCGTCATTTTGCGAATTTAATAAATCTCATTGATTTTTCTACTTTGACAACTCATATGTATGTTGTACACGTATACATATACGCACGTATTTATATAAGAAAGATTGGAATCGACGCGAGGCAACGAATTACATTGCGACAAATTTTTCCTCCTGTCAAATCATCCACTTTGTTTTTGTTTTCACGATTGGGAAATTACATGGATTGTAGATAGATAGATATATTGGTGTATAGTTACAGGTTTTATGCATCTCCGTGTAGGTACTCTTAGTTAACCGTAGAATGCAGAACAAATATATGCAAGATCTTATCAGGGTGTATGCATTGATGCGGATAATTGATGATGCATGAAATTCCGATAGGATCTTATCAAAACATGCTTCTTCTCTTAAAATCATCTTTGCAAAAGTGATACAGCAAATACAGTGATGCAGCAATTTATTTTTCTCATCGATTTGCAATAAATGTTAATTTAAAGAAAAAAATGATAGATATATTTTTTGTCATTACTTACATACATTATACTACTTGGGACTTAATTATATTTTCAAGATGCTATTACTTTACAAAAACTCAATGCAACACATAAAATTCCAAAATTCTGTAATCCAAAACCAAGGCCTACTTTCTTCCACAATAAACATCTTTTCCATGCGTTGTAAAGAACATCTGTCCAAAAAATTAGAGCAGGGAAACTAAAACTTGTGTCTATTGTTACAGTTTGGGCCTTATGTGGTTTCCACGTACCACCAGATGTCGTCCACGTTGCGTCTATGTTATATAAGTCCATGGAAGATCAAGAGATTTGCAGAATAATCAAGATTTTAAAGGAAAACCAAATGATTCTCTTGAAAGTCCTTTCAAAACTGGCGCCCTTTCGGAGGCCTGGCAGCCATTAGACTCCAAAGTGAAGAGAAAGAGAAAGAGTGAAAGAGAGAGAAAGTCCAGGGAGAGAGGATGATGGTTCCATCGAGTAGGTAGTGCCTAGACGGGGCTCCACCCAGCACTTAGTTCACGTCGCGAGTATGGCCCAGGGCACGCTGGTATCCAGGGTACAGTCACGCCCCTGCCGCACCAGCTACGTATTCCCATTCGCTGGCCCATATCTCATCGGGTCCATCGCATTAGCCTAATCTGCCAACGACGACGAATAGAAAGCTCCACGATTGGGGTAACCAGGGGGCTAGGGAACATTGAGGGGCCGAGAGGGGCAAAGAAAAAAATGCGGCCATCGACGTTGCGTTGTTGTTGCGCTGTGTTTGCTCGGCTCGAAATCGCGGCGAGCTGCTGCCACCTATCGAGCCGAATCCAAGACCAAGACCGGTCCCCTGATCGATTTTTTTCTTACCTCTCTATGTCGGACGCGTCTATTTCTTTTATAATACTTCCGTTTTTTTTACCCTCCACCCTGTGATTTTTACGTTCGTTTGTTTTAACGTTCGTTAGTTTGGTTGTTTAATCGCGTGAAGATGTTATATTCATCATCAGTTCCATGTTTCTTCCTACACGTTTATTGGACTCGGTAAGATTCGTCAAATTTGTTCTTGTTTTTTGACTTTTCTTTTGACTTTTGTTTTTGTTTGTATTATGAGTGACGAGCTGTTTTAGGCGTGTACAAAATTGTTATTAAGTTTTCTTTTAAGAATCGTTTGTAAAAGTCGATGTAGGTGTGCGAATAAAGTGTTTATATGCTTTTACAAGCTGTATATTCTCGCAGTATGCGATGAGACACGGACTGGACGTTTGCTATGTCTGAGAGGAAGATGGTAAGACATTGTCGGTTTGATTTCTTGTCTCAAGGCGTTTTTCTTATTCTTAGTATTAAAGTGTGTATGATTTATTACTACGATTTGTTTCGAATATTGATGATAAATTGAGAGGTTGTAGAAGAGATGTGGAATAAATTAATACGTCGATTTGACGGATTATTTAAGCATTTTTTTAAGTCCATCGATTCTTAACGCTTTAGTTGCAGCTTTCGGTTACCGTCGATGCCATTTCATCCTTCCATTTCCTCGTCTGGGTTTCTTTGAAGACAACCCTGGGAAACTGGAAAACTTTGCAAATCGGTAAGTTGTTAAGTAATAATAATTCAATACGTTTTGAGATTCTTCCTCGAGTGTATTGGTATGTAGATGCTTTTCTTTTTACATTAAAATCAAGTTATTTAATGAGAACATTCGACGGAACATATGTTTGATTTAAGATCAAAGGTAGTTATTAATTTTTAACAGTTATATGTCCATCAGACCGTAAATTTCATTGCAAGCAAAGTATAGTAAACTCTCTTTGATATTTTTCTTTTCAATAAAAGTAGAAAGAATATCACAGAAACGTTGGTTGATAATTTAAAAGTACAGATGAATTATGTTACTTCGAGAAAAATAGAGAGAAATGGAGAAAAAAATAAATATAAGAGTTTAACTTATAAAGGCCGTAATTAGAAAAATACTATAAATCACTTGTGAGGTGAATAGAAACAAATGTAAGTTTTAATATATTCAACAATAACACGATTTCCCGTATGAGTAACTGTACGTAAATGCGACGATAAATTCTACTTGAAATTTAGCTTTACGTTGACACAGATTTGTGACGTTATTTTGGCAAAAGAATGATTTATATCCTTCGAAGCAAGCTTAGATCAAAAAACTCTCGAGGAAACATAAAGTCTCGTTTTCTTCGGTGAAAATTGTTGGACGAAAGTTACAACGGAATGAAATTTCGGCCGACGGTAGGCTAACGTTGATGAAAAGAAAAAGAAATATGAGAAAGAAAGAAAGAAAGAAAAAAAGTAAGAAAGTAAGAAAAAAGGAAAGAAAAAACAGATGTGGACGACGTTGACGTCCCCGTCGTCGTTGTCGCCGTCATTGCTATCGTCGTCGTCGTCGTGGTTTTCGTCATGCCAGGTCGAAAATTGCGGACTTTCATGGGACCATGAATTGCCCTAGTTTTCGAAAAAAACCTTTTTGATACTCTACCATAACACATGTGCATTCTCAACAATGCAAATTTTCTTCTGGAGCGTGAATACATTTAACCGTGTCCAATACACAGTGACACAATACAAGTTTTTCTCATCTTTTCAAAGACTATAACAAAGGTTACCTTACATACGTTAGACGACCAGAGATTCAGGTAAAATGATTCTTAGTAAATGTTACACAAACTTACGTCATTGTGATAGCGTAACAATATTTTCCTCTGATAATTCTAAAGCTTTCTTACTATTTTTATATTTGTTAACCCTATTTTCTTAGGCATGTAATAAATTATTTCACATATGGCTTTTATACGTAATCTTTGATAAATTAGATAATTATAAGTTTGAATTTAAACGAAACAAATTAAATTCTAGATCTATTCTAATAGATTATTATAATAAAATATATTGTTTTAGTCGTGTATGAGATTCGTACATTTGATCATTTCTAACATTAATATTTATCACGCTTGAATATTTTGCGAATGCAATCTTGAAATATGCATGTTGTAAAACCCTAAAAATAGAAATTTGAGCCTGATCTTACCATCGAAAAGAGTCAGAAATACGATTTTAAATTTTCAAACGGGGTAGTGTCAGGAATATTGTAGCACAGTAAGTCGAAACGAAACGTTGACAAAGCGTTCTTCACGCTTATTTCTATGTATCACCGTAACCCTTTGTTCTAACCGCGATGATCCAACAGTCAGTTGGTATCTTCACAAGTACCAGCTGTTCTAACGATGACTTTGTTGTCACACATACACTGGAGCACGACCGTGAACATGATTAATGATACCTTAATGACTACATGAACGACTGCCTGCTAAAATATAACTCAATCTCGGATGAAAAATACTTCTCATTATATTACGATGCATCGATTGCAATTACGCAATAGTCATTAGGAACTCCTGTCGAGTATAGCCGTAATTGCGATGACGGAAAAAACGTGAGAGAAGGAAGAAAAGATTAATGAAAAGAAATGATTGACGTTAACAATAAAATAAACAAAAATAAAGTAAAGGAAGGAGGGATGGAAAGAGGCGGAAAAAGAAGGGGAATAAAAATACAACGAAACGAAAACAAATATATTTCGTAATTCGGGAAAATTAAGTAAAAATAGGCCCATTATTTTTGATAATAAACTCATGAAATTCTTTTTCATCGATGATCATATCGATACGATTTATCGTAATGTTTGAGTTTTAAGATCAACTACGGTGTTATAAAGGTAACATTAGCAGCAGGATATTAACATTATCGACGATAAGATACAGACGTTTGGCGTTGCAACAAACACGCGTGGGATGATACGTGGCTCCTTAATGAATACTTCATAAATCTACTTTGCAATTGCAGCTTGTTGCGTGCCTCGTACGATTCATAAGCAGATAACGTTGCTTTACAAGCAACCTTTACACAGGCTCTCGTTGATGTCCGAATTTTTGTCGGACCTTACTACGTTGAGGCTTTTGAAAAATTTTGCCTATCATCCTTCATAAGTATCGTGATCATTTATATGCGGAATAATATTATTTTACTACGTAAAGTTCTTTCATCATTTTCTAGTAGCGTAGAAAAGGTTTTATTAATCTGTAATTTATGAATATTAGATGTAATGAACGGTAGCTATTAATTTATTTTTTTTTTCTTTCATTTTAAACTTATCATTTTTAATTAGCATTTTCATTGAGTATTTCATAGCATTCGTAAGCGCTTTTTATTATAAGTACCTGTTCAAAAAGATAAACTGATATTCAGCACGAGTTTAAATCAGTTTTATTACTTATGAAGGTGCGAATAAGAGAAATAACAAGTGTTCACGGGCAAACCGTGAAATCAGGATAAAAATCTTGAAAGTTAGATACTTCCGTGATATGTAAAACTATGTAAAAGACTTTCCGTAGTGCATAATAAGTCGAAAAGAGAAACTGCAACAATTCGATCGTGGTTAAGGAAATCGTGAAATATAATTAATCGAGAGCAGTGAATCATTCTTTTTAGAAAGCCATTCTATCTGATCCCAGTATTGTTGTTAGAAGAACAACTTATCTTTTATCTAGTTTCTAACCATTTTTTTTTAATCAACATTAAAGTTAGAAGTTTGCACAAACTTTAGCGAGATCTTTTGATTAGTAGAAAACTATTTGAACTATTTTTTGAATATTTCCGTATACTTAATCACTAACTAAAATTTTGAAACGATAGTAACGGAATCGTTTTACGATATGATCGAATCGTAATAGCGGTCGCACGAACGTCAGCTTTAATTTTATCCAAGTAGTATCTTCGTTGCGACTGAACACGAACATTGCCAGTAGGATTCCGTTGTTTGTCGTTTCGTGCACCAAAGATCTGGTTAAACATCGCCAACCGGATTTGTAACTCCTTCTCTCGTCTCTGTCTTTCTCTTTCTGTCACTCGTATGTAAGTTTCGTTAAATGATTCTGACGAGTACGAGTTGTGTCTTGTGCTGCTGGTAATCCGAAGTAACACGTTGAAGAATCATTGAACTCGTCGGAGACCATTTGTTTCCATGGAAATGTCTGAAAATAGAAAATATCATCGATCAGTGTTGTACCATTCAAAACTTATCTCATTCAAATGAGTATAATTTTAAAAGAAAAAAATATTAATTTTGTTTAATCTTTTATAATTACATTTGTCAAAATGTTCAAAATAAGACAAGTATAAATGATGTGTAAAATTTTATACAAATATCATATGAAAAATTATATAAAAAACTTACAAAAGGTGTATCCAACTACTAAACGATTTTGCTAGGTACACGTTCTATCGTTAGATCCAATCGGTTGGTACATACGCTTATGATCATCTTGTAAGTTTCAAATAACTTCGAGTCGGACAGATTTAATACCGGACACACAACATGTCAACGATAGGGAGGACAAGCGACGGTGTATCGCATTCTTCGAGGCACTACACGAAACCGAACAGAAAAGAAACAAAGAGAAAGAGGGTGAGAGAGAGAGAGAGAGAGAGAGAGATGGCAGAGGGGAATCGAAAAAGCAGATTTGATTCGAAGAGGATAGGACAGATCGGTATGGTGTCTGGCTCGGTAGTAGACGAGTCGGGTAGATGGCGGCGTGCAGGGTCGTGCCAAGGTAATATCCATAGGAACACCCCATGTCAGAGGGAGAAACGCAGAGACGTGCGATCAATCACGAGGGACCCTGCTGCCACGCTCGTGGCCCTCATATCAGCCGTAATACACAGTAAACATTTTTAACTTTGCCACGTTATTAATATTAGTTGCGCTCCCTGGACACGTAGCATCCCTCTTTTCCTCTTCTATCTTCTCCTCTCACCGAACCTTCCTTCTTTCTCTTTTCTTTCCATTTTTATATATATATATTTTTCATCTCTCTTACGTCAACCATCGTGAACCATTTCTTTTGTGTGTGTATGGTATCATAACAAAATTCATCAACGTTCGACGTTTTTTGATTTTTATCTTATCGGTCCTGTACGAATTTCGAAACATTTTTCTTGTCTTCTTCCTTCGTCCGTGAAATTATGCTGAAAGAAGCAAATTATTATAATCGAGTCTATATCTCTCTCTTTTTCTCTCTCGTATTATTAAAGCTAATGTATTTATTCTCACCTATTTCGAGGATTAGAAATTTTTATTCAGGTAATTTTACGATAGGCTGAACTCAAGGCAAAGGTAATCATAGTTTAAAAAAATTATCGTAAGCGTGCAAGCCGGACGATATTTATAATAGCTGTCGGTTAATCATATTCAAAAGTCTAGTCGGACCATTATTATTAGTCACACTCACTTACTCCAATGTCTTCGTTCCGATCGAGTTAGTTTCATTGGCCGCGTTAATTCATGGTCTATGATGTAGATTACAGTTATGCCAGTGGACCGTTTGATAGTAAGTACAAAGTAGCTTGCGGCACGTAATCAAAGTAAACGAGTATTCGCTTCGAGTCGTTAACGTCTCATCGATCACGATCCTTCAAATTCAACTTGTAGATTGTACACCTAATCATAGAAAAATAATCATAAATTATAAATCGTTAATTGCATTAGTTACGAAAGAATACTAATGCAAA